ACAATAAATTAATTACTAAAAATTATCGAATGCTTGAAGAATTTTTTTACTCAAATATTATCAACTTTACAAAAAAAAACTACAAGAGACAAAAATCATTTATTTTCTTCTCATAGAACTCTAAGAAGCTCTTTTCATAATTTTTTATCAACTTTTTAATACTGCATTTTCTTATTTTTACCAATGTAAGAAAATACGATATTAAAAAACTTTGAAAAAATTTTCAGAACTTTATGAAAAGAAAACAATTTTTGTCTCTCACTATTTTTCTGTATAGTTAATAGTATTTGAATAAAAAATTATTGAAAACCAATATTCAGCGAATTTAATAATTAATATCTCATTAATCATTGCGAAAATTGCAAAATGATAGAGAACTTTTCGATTCAGTTTAATCTGTTCTATCTATACAAAAGCGGTTGGCAAAAGCTTACGAGACATTCTGTATAATATAAAATGTTTAATAACAATAATTACATTAGGATATTATTAATTGTTCACTAAATAATTGCGCCATTGTTGACTCTCGTTTGCCTACTATATTTATCTTTTTGTATTGTATAAAATGTATTTTACAGTATGTCACAGATGTATATATCCCTACTGAAAAAAATCACGTCACTCATCAGTTGGATGATGAAATCATGTAATTAAAACATATAAATCACGTAACGGATTATTCCAAATCAGTACGTGATTTTTTTTAATTACGTAATTTACAAAATTACATGATGATATCTTTTTTTTCTTATTTCATTTAAGTCTTCAAAATTTGATAACTAAAATCACATGATGGATGAATAAAATTATTTCTAATATCATGTGATATTTTAAATTACGTAATTTTTAAAAAATCATGTATTGATTTGAAACAATCCAATTAAGTGATTTACATATGTTTTAATTAATAATTTCATTATGTAACGTTGTAACATGATTTTTTTCAGTAAAGATCAAAATATTATATGTAAGTATACACAGAATTCTAATGTTTTCTAATACAATGATAGAAAATATAAAGATTTTTATCACATAACAAATATCTGAGTACAATGCCAACTATAATATAAGCATGTATGTAGGACGCTCCAGGGTTATTAGCGAAGATCGTATGAATAGAAATTAAATACAATCTTGTGAACATTTTTCTTCATATCGCTGCTGAGGCAAGCTATTCGCTGCAGCAAAGCTTGTCGCATTGCGTCGTGCGAATTTTTGTTTCTAAAAGTAGCAGCAACGTAATGCAACTGCGGACATCACTTGCGCCAATACTCATTTCATCTTTAGATAAGATTTGCTATGCTCCACGCGGCCAAAAATAATAAATTACATAGAAAAAGAATTAAATTTTAAGAAACAAGATTATGATAGATCCCGAATGATGATAACGAAGGTTGTACTCTTTTAACACTTTTTCTTTCAAAGAGAGAACATTTATTTGTGATTAGATGCATTAATACCAGATCTTATTTAGCAAATACTACAACTAACAGCATTATTATATCAATATTATAATTTCCTATTCAACAATAAATGTAATATAACTCTGTTGTAGGTAACAGTTATATATTATTGAGTATTATGACTGATGTATCTATAATATATGTAACTATAATTTGATGTAATTACTGTTAATTGATTCGAATGGTTTTAATTGGTCCTATAGAGATAAAAATAACCGAAAAAAAAACTAGAAACTTTAAATAAAGAACTCAATAAAAAGCAGTTTTTTACTGACGATCATTTTCATCTCTAATTTCAGCGAGTCTTGCTAATGGTTGCGTTCAGCAAAAAAAAAAGCAGCATTGCAATTATTGTAAGAGTCTTTAAGAAGGTTACAATATATCAAGAATTATACTGGAAAAATTTACAAATTATTCCAAATTGCATTTAAAAGTAATACAAAAAAATTAGAGACACTTTATCATCTGAATCAAAAGTTATTTTAATAAAAAGTCATATTTTTAAAATTTGTTCTCTAATAGAAATATGTAAAAATGTATTATAAAATAATGATAAAAATCTCAATTTTATATATATATATATATATAAATACCTTATAAATTAAAA